GCCATAGTCTAGAAGTGAAAAGTCCTTGCCTTGTACACAGCAGGATCCGCTTCATATCCCAGAGGTCCTGCTTCCCATCCAACTCTCTGCTTGTGGCCTGGGAAAGCAGTTAGGGAAAGACAAAAGCCTTGGGACCTTGCATCCGCATGGGAGACCCAGTAAAGGCTCCTGGCTTCTGGCTTCAGATCAGCGCTGCTTTGGCTGTTGCGGCCACTTGGGGAGTGAATCAGCAGATGGAAGATCTTTCTGTCTCTCCTATCTGTATATATGACTTTCCAATAAAATAAATAAATAAGTAAAAATTGAAAAAAGAAACATTTTGAGAAATTGCCAAATATGCTTCGTAAGTGCCTGCATGTTTTATAATTGCCAAAAGCAGTGAGTGAGGATTTTGATTTGTCTGCTAGCTTTGTCAGCACTTAGCTGTCATTTTTGTGTTAAGCATCCTTATAGTTGTGAAGGTGCATCTGTGTTTTTTTAATGTGCAACACCTTGGTTACTTGTGATGAACCTTATTTTTGTTCTAATCCTCTGTAATCTTTGGAGAGATAATGTGTTTAAATCTGTCACTATCTTTTTTAGAATATTGCCTTTTGTTTTTCTTTTTAAAAGTATATACTCCTTTATTTACTTGAGAGAGATGGGGAGAGAGAGATTGAGATCTCTTCTGTGTGCAGATTGACTCTCCAGTTGTCTGAAATGGCTGGGCTGGGGAGGATTAAAGCCAGCAGCCAGGCGCTGACTCTAGACTTGAGCCATGCATCACCTGCTGCCTCCTGAGGTGGGTCTTACAGGAAGCTGGGATGGGGAGTGCAGTGGTGCTCTTGGGAGAGGCAGGCAACGCAAGTGATGTCTTAACTGGTTTTATTGTTATAGAAGTTCTTTCCCCTTCCTCTCCTCCCCTCCCATGCCTTTCCTTGCCTTGATGTACTTGTTTGAAAGAGATCTTCTGTCTACTGTCTTCCTCCTCAGATAGCAGCAACAGCAGGAACTGGACTGATGTAAAGCCAGGAGGGCCCTTCCTGGACTCCCATGCTGATGCAGGGGTCTGAGGACTTGGGCAATTCCCCACTGTTTCCATAAATCATAATGGAGCTGGATTGAAAGTGGAGCTACTGGGGTATGAACAGGTGCCCATGTGGAATGCCAGGCTGCAGGCAGAGGCTTAGCTTACTATGTCATGGAGTCACCCTGAGAGTTCTTCATATATCTTTTATTAAAAAAAAAAATTTTTTTTAGAATTTAGTTAATTTTTATTGGAAAGTCAGATATACAGATATAATTTTTATTAGAAAGTCAGAGACATGGAGAAAGCTCTTCCATCTATTGATTCACTCCCCAAGCAGCTGCAACGGCCAGAGCCTAGCCGGACCAAAGGCAGGAGCCACAAGCCTCTTCTGGGTCTTCCATGCATGAATCCCAAGGCTTTGATCCATCCCTCACTGCTTTCCCAGGCCACAAGCAGGGAACTGGATGGGAAGCAGGACTGCTGGGATATGAAACAGCATCCTTGTGGGATGCTGGTGCTTGCAAGGCAAGGACTTTAGCTTCTAGGCTATGGTGCCAAGCTCTTGTATTTTTTAAAGAAATGACTTGTCAGATATGTTTGCCAAACATTTCTCCCATTCCATGATTTGTGTGTGTGTGTGCTTATGATAATTTCTCCTGAAGCACAGTTATTCTGGCGAGGTCTACTTTTCATGTCATTTTCTAATAAGTCATTGTCTAATACAGGCTCATAAAGATGTATACTTGTGTTCTTGTCCAGGAGCTTTCTTTAGATTTAGGTCTGTTGCCTGTTTAATTTTTGTGTGGGTGGGTGGTAGGTATCCAGTATCAATCCTTTATATGTGGCTATTTGATTATCCTAGTGCCATTTATTTAAGGGTGGTTTTTCTTCATTGTATGATCTCGGCATCCTTGTTGAAAATTACTTAAGCTCCTTGATTCGTATATCTGTTTTTAATGCCAATAATACACAAAGCTTTTAAATACATTTTGAGAGCAGGAATTATGCATGTTCAGCCTGACTTCTATTTTCAAGATTGCTTTTGGCTATCTGAGTTTCCAGATGTGTCTTAGAGTTAGCAGGATTCAAAAGCAAACCAAGATTTTCATGAGATTTGAATGTGGGCCGAGGATCTGTTTGGGGAGGATTACTGCCTTAGTATTTTGTTTTGATGTTGAGTGTGAGATGTCTTTTCATTTGTTTAGATCTCCTTTCCTTTTTTTTTTTAAATATGTTTGTGGGTTTCAGTCTACAGATCTTATTTCTGTTGTTAAATTTATACCTAAGAATTGTATTCTTTTTGATGTTTTGGTGAAATGATTTTTTTAAAAATGTATTTTCGGATTATTGATTGCTTTCATAGATTTTTTTGCACAGCTAACTTGTATTTTGAATAATTTATTTCTATTAACAATAGAAATCTAAGTATCCAAATTATTATCTTCATGGCACTTGCATGCTGAAAGTGGAAAGAGGGACCAAAAAAAAAAAAGATAGATAAATAAGACTGGTAAGGAAAGATGTTGAGAAATGTGGTGCAGAAGTGGGAAGGATGAGCGAAGCTTTTTTAGGATGACCAGAGAAAACTTTGCTGGTGTGGTAATTTGAGCAAAGAAATGAGAACTAACCCAGAGGATGGATGGGGAGGAGCGTTCTAAGTGAAGGATATAGTGAATTTGGAAATCTTACAATGGGAAAGTACTGTATATGATGAATGAAGAAATGGCCAGGGTAATTGTAGAGAGTGTTTTATTTCTTTAGAAAAGATGGGAAACATTCAGCTCCCTGCTTGTGGCCTGGGAAAGCAGTCGAGGACAGCTCAAAGCCTTGGGACCCTGCATCCGTGTGGCAGACCTGGAAGAAGTTCCTGGATCCTGGCTTCGGATTTGTATAGCATCTGCCGTTGTGGTCACTTGGGGAGTGAATCATCAGATGGAAGATCTTCCTCTCTGTCTCTCCTCCTCTCTGTATATGTGACTTTGTAATAAAAATAAAATAAATCTTTTCAAAAGGTGGGAAATAAAGACCCGAAGGCAGAGATCATTTGGTCTTAATGAGGAGTTTGATTTTTACCTTTGTGCAGCCTAAGAGGTCATTGGAGGTTTTGTTGTTGTTTTTGTCTTTTCAGTCTTTTCTCCTTCCTTCCTTCCTTCCTTCCTTCCTTCCTTCCTTCCTTTCTTTCTTTCTTTCTTTCTTTCTTTCTTTCTTTCTTTCTTTCTTTCTTTCTTTCTTTCTTTCTTTCTTTCTTTCTTTCTTTCCTTCTTTCTTTCTTTCTTTCTTTCTTTCTTTCTTTCTTTCTTTCTTTCTTTCTTTCTTTCCTTCTTTCTTTCTTTCTTCCTTTCTTTCTTTCTTTCCTTTTTCTTTTTCTTTTTTTCTTTTCTTTTCTTTTCTTTTCTTTTCTTTTTTCTTTTCTTTCCTTCCTTCCTTCCTTCCTTTCTTCCTCTTTCTTTCTTTCTTTCTTTCTTTCTTTCTTTCTTCCTTTCTTCCTTTCTTTCTTTCTCTCTCTCTCTCTCTCTTTCTCTTTCTCTCTCTCTCTCTTTTCATTCAGAAGGCAAAGGCAGAGTTACAGAGAAAGAAGACCATAAGATCTTCAGTCTACTGGTTTACTCCCCAGTTGTCCACTGCAGCCAGGGCTTACAAGGCTGAAACCAGGAACCCAAGCTTGTGGGCATCTTCTGCTGTGTTCTCAGGTGACAGTACCCATGTGCAATGCCTGTCTCCTAATGGTGGCTTAACCTGATGAGTTATGACACTTATAATTTTAGTTATCGCTTTAAGTGTTTCATTACATGCAAACATAATTACAGATATTTTTTCAGAATAAATTTGGAGGGAAAAAGGAAGGGATGAAGAAAAGGGAAATAGTGATCTAAAATGTTAGAAATTAGGCTGTAATGAACATTTATCCTGGAGTGATTCTAAGCTGGAAGGCTGCTTCTGTGTTCTGTGAATCCTTTTTTTTCTTCCCTCTTCAAGGACTGATCTATTTATTTGAAAGGCAGAGTTACTAAAAGAGGAGAGAGAGAGATCTTCCTTCTGCTGATTGGCTCCTCAAATGGCTAGCGGCTGGCGCTGGGCCAGGCCTAAGGCAGGAACTTCATTGAGGTCACTTCCTCAGGCCGCTTCTGCTGCTTTCCCCAAACAGCACCCATATGGATGCCAGCTTTGCAGGCAATGGCTTAACTTGCTAAAAATCTCTTAAAAATATCTGAATGTTTACATTTGACCTTATAAAATTACCCATTTTTGTCTTTATTTTTTTAAGGATTTATTTATTTATTTTGAAATCAGAGTTTGAGGGAGAGACAGAGATTTTACTGTCTGTTGGTTCACTCAATACATGGCCGCAGTGCTCTGTGCTGAGCCAAGGTGGAGCCAGGACTTCAAGCTATTCACTGCATGCGTGGAGGGGCTAAACGCCTAGGCCATCTTCTGCTTTGTCCAGGCAATTAGCAGAGCTGGACCGGAAGTGGAGTAGCTGGGATGGGAAGCGGTATTCTCATGGCATCACGGGCAGCAGCTTTACCTATTATGCTGCATACTGTGCCCTAGTCCCATGTGTTTATTGATAATTTAAAAGTGTTCTTTATCTATTTTTTTTTTTTAGATTTATTTATTTTTATTGGAAAGTCAGATATATACAAATAGGAAGAGAGAGAGAGAGAGAGAGAGAGAGAGAGAGAGAGAGAGAGAGATCTTCTATCTGATGGTTCACTTCCCAAGTGGCTGCAGTGGCCGAACCTGAGCCGATCTGAAGCCAAAAGCCAGGAGCTTCTTCCGGGTCTCCCAGGCTGGTGCAGGGTTCCAAAGCTTTAAGCCATACTTGACTGCTTTCCCAGGCTACAAGCAGGGAGCTCAATGAGAAGCAGGACCGGCGGGATATGAACTGGTGCCCATGTAGGATCCTGGTGTGTGTAAGGTGAGGACTTTAGCTTCCAGGCTACCATTCTGGACTCCTGTCATTTAATTCTTTCTGTGGTTTGCAGATGTGAATATTGTTTCAACATCTGTGATCTTTTAACTGTACAATATCTAGTTATGAAATTTAAAATTTTTATATAGGTAAATCACACATGATAGGTAAATAACTTATAGCTTCTGGATTTTTTTATGCTTTCAAAGATGATGCAAGAGTTCATTATCTGTATTTAGTCTTTTTATGATTTTGTGTTATGACTTAAATTTATAAATGTAGATCTGAATTCTGTACATATTTGGAGCTAGTATGGTTTAAATCCTGATTGCATTTGGGGTAGATATGGTTTAAGATTAACTACTCTTTGCTGTCTTCTGCTTGTGTAGGTAATTGTTGAGACTACTTAAGGGATATTTTCTTCAATCACTTAAAATGCCCTAAAGAGTTGTAAATTTTGAAGAAAAATAGTTTACTGAAATATAATTTGCATCCTATAAAATACTTTCAAACAATTTCAAACTATACTTTTTGAAGTATTTTGTACTGCATACACACATAAATATTTGAACTAACTCTGAAAAGTTTTTGCCATGGACGAGTGCGGCATAGTTGGTAAAGCCACTGACTGTGATGCTGGCATCCCTCATGAGCACCAGTTCAAGACCCTTTTGCTCTGTCTCCAGTCCATTTCCCAGCTAATGCATCTGTGAAGGCTGCAGTACCTGTCTCAAGGCCCCTGCACCTATATGGTAGATCCAGAAGAAGATCCTAGCTCCTTTGGCCTGGCCTGGCTCAGGCCATTGCGGCCGCTTTGGGAGGAAACCAACAGGTAGAAGATCTCCGAATCTAATTCTGCCTTTCAAATAAATCAGTAGATCTCTTAATTTCTTTCATGTGTCTTTGTAGTCATTCTTCCCAATCTGCTTCCTTGATTTGTTCTGGAATTGTATATACATGGCATTGCGTAGTATGCCTTTGGCATAGTATACTATATGTTTCATTTAGTTTTTAAGATTCATCCATTTTGTATTGATCACTGATTTATTTTGAAAGTGATATAGCTATACAGGTTTAATTTTTTTTGTGTGTTTAGATTATGTTCATATTTAGGCTGTTTAAAAGTATGCATGCTTGTGTGTGAACATAATGTTTTCATTTTTCTAGGGTGACCATCTTAATTTGGAATTACTGGGTCACTTGGTAAGTTTATGTTTAAATGTACAAGGAACTTTAGACTATTTTGCAAATGGTTATATCATTTTATATTTCCACAAGTCTTTGTGAATTCTATTTCTTCCAACTCCTTGTTAGTGTTTGATACTCGTCAGGATTTGATTGCAAACATTCTGATGGTGATAACTGCATCGCTTTTTAAAGGATGTTGCATATGTACAAATTTACCATTTCAAGCATTTTCAAATACAGTGTTTGGTGACAAAGTACATTCATGTTATGGTACAGCTGTTCCACAACTGAAACGCTGTATTCACTAAACAGTAACCACCCATTGCTTTCTCTTTCTGGTCCCTGATAATTAAATTTTATTTTCCATCCCCATGAATTTGACTACTAGACACTTAATACAGCAGGAATCATGACCTTTTGTATTTGGCTTATGTCGGTTTGTAGAGCTAACTAAAGTTCGTCAATGTTTTAGCATGGTTCCTTCAGAATGGATAATACATCACAATAGCATATGTTTTGTCCATCCATTGGAGGACATTTGAGTTTACACATTTTGGCTGTATGACTAACGCTACTGTGAACACTGGTGTAGAGCTTCTTTTGATTATATGTTTAGGTGTAGAATTGTTGGGTCGAATGGTAATTCTCTGTTTAATTTTTTGAGGAACTGCCTGCCATAATTTTATACAATGGCTGCACCATTTTGCATCACTACCAACAGTACATAAGGCTTCCAGTTTCTCCAAGTCAACAATAAAACTTATTTTCTGGAATTAAAAATTAATTCTCATCCCAGTGAGTATGAAGTATCTTTATAGTTCTGATTTACATTTTCTTGATGATTAATGTTATCAAGAATTTTGCTGTTTTTTTGAGTGCTCAAATATTTTACATATTATTTTGCTTTTCAGAGTGTAAGTTCCTTGCTATTTATTTGCATTTCTTTACTGGTTGCTTATCTTTTTATTTTTGATGATGTTTACATAGCTGAGAAGGATGTATGCCCTTGTAAATCACTGATTAGGATATAGATGATTGAAATATAGGGAAGATGGATGAGACAATTGGTTTCACTTTTTTGCCCCCTTTAATCCTGTATATGGGTGGAGGGGAGAGGGCTGCTCCTAGCAGCCTAACCACATCAGTGCCTGGAGATGGGGGATGACCACTTGCTGTTATCAAAGGATCCCTGATGTGGAGCATGTTCTGAGGTACTGCATAAGTGGTTTAGGATAGTTCTCAGATGCTGCTGAGTTTTTTGCTTCAAGGTTGACAAAATCCTTCCTAGGTCAATTGGCTGACATAATCCACCTTAGAGTCTCCATTCTTCCAGATACTGACTGACAAAGCTTTGCTAGGAAGGTTGTCCAAATTGTTTTGCCCTCCATCCTTTGCTGTGGTATTTAGATGTCCTCTGCAGGTCTCAATGGGCTATCCTGTCCCTCATGTGCATCCGGGTGTGCTGTCCACAGCACAGGCTTCAGAAACTGAGGAGACCTAGTTCTGATACGTGAAGGTGACACCACAGATCCTGTTTTTTCCCCTGTGGTTAGAGCTTTGAATCTCCTGATCTAATGTGTGCCTTAATATGTGCCTTCCAGAGCTAGGTCTGGTTCAGTTTGTTACTGATATCGGCGTGCATGCACACAAGTGCTGTAGTTGCTGGGTTGGTTCTGTCCCCAGCCCCATCTCATACACAAACTAGCAGGTGCTGCAACCCAGCCTAACCCTGCGTACCACACATGTGGCCCTGATATGGATCAGTGGGACCTGCAGCCCAGTTGGAGCAATCTCTAATAACACCCATCAGGCTTGCCGCCAGCCCTGGTTCCTGCGCATGCTGCTATGTGCAGCAGACTGGTCTTGTCCATCCCAAATCGCAATTGGCTTTGGTACACACCAGTAGGTGTTGCAGCCTAGCTGAACCCAACCAACCTCACTATCCAGTTCACACTTACTGCCGGTGGGTGCTGTTGCCTGTCCAGCCAGGCCTGTGCCCTAGTTCTCAAGCTCACAGGTGGGAGCTGCAGCCCATCAGAGGGGGTAGCCACAGTGTCTCTGTAAGGCCCATTCCCAGCCCTGGATCTTGGAATTTGCAGATGGTACTACAGTCTAGTCTGACAGGCAAAACTTGCCCTGTTTGTGTTACCGGCCAGCTGATGCTGTTGCAAAACCTGACCAGTCTTTGCTTACTCTAGCGTATGAATGCTCCAGTAGATTTGGTTGCCTGCTCCTGCCCCAGCCTGGCTGCCTGACTCTCCTGCTCCCCCTCAATCCAGTTTATTTGTTCTGCTCCAAGTCCTGGCTCTCATGCTCACCAGAGGGAGCACTGGCCCAGCAGGGAGGTCCTTGCAGTCCCTTGCAGTCCCTGTACCAGGCCTCTCCCACTTCCCCTAGCCCCTGCTGTTTTGTGTGTGCTGATGTGTGCTGCGGCTCAGTCTGACATGGCCCGCTTCACCTTGGCTTTCACTGGCAGGTGCTGCAGCCTGGTTCCATCCAGTTTCCGCTCATGCTGACAGGAGGCTGCAGCCTAGTCCAGCCTGGACAGACTTGGTCCTGGCTTTAATGTGAACTGGCTGATGTTGAGGCCCAGCCCAACCCAGCCTGGCTTGCATCCCATTTTGGTTCTCACATCTGCCAGTGGGTGCTAAAAACTGACCTAGTCCGACCTGTTCCCAGACCTGACCTGCACATAAGCTGGTGGGTATTCTAACGTGGCCTGGTCTGGGCTGTTTCCAGCCTCAGTTCTTGGGCTCGCTAGCAGGGACTGTGACCTGACAGAGGAGTTTCCCATTCTGCTCTATCAGGCCACTGCCCAGTTGAGATCGTGCGCATAGGCAGTTTCTTGGCCAGCCTGACTTTCAGTATTCACTGTCAGGTACAGCCGCCTTGCCTGAGCAGCCCACACCTTTTCCATCTCTTAACTGTTGTTGGGTGCTAAGCCCAGCCCCACCTGGCCCAACCCCAGAACTGGCTCTCCTGTGGTTCAGCAGGTGCCGAGTTTAGCCTAGCCCAGTCTGGCACACCCCCAGACCCAGTCCACACACATGCCAAGGACTACTGCAACAGTGTCTGGCCCAGTTTGCTGCCCCATTCTGGCTCTTGCACTCACCAGTGGGAACCACAATTCCAGCAGGGGTGTTCCCTTATTTCCCTGACCAGGCCTGCTCTAGGCCACAGATCTTGTGTGTGCAGGTGGTTGCTCAGCGCAGTCTGACATGGTCACTTTCCCATCTTGACCTTTGCCGTTAGATGCTGTAGCCTAGCCCTGTTCAGTTTGTCTCCCTCTCCAGCTCTCATCCAAACAGGATGAGAATACAGAAGCGTAGTTGGCGTGGCCCACACCCAGTTTTGGCTTCCACGCATGCCAGTGTGCTGCTGTTTGGCACAGTGGTGCCTGGTCTGGCCCACACCAGCCCCAACTCTTGCTCACGAGAAGGAGCTACAGAGTAGTAGGGGAGTTACCAACTTCCCCCACTAGGCCTGCTCTCAGACCCGGATCTAATATATGTCAGCTGGCACTAGGGCCCGGCCTGGCATAGTTGAGCCTCCTAGTCTTGGCCTTTGTGCATGCTGGTAGATGCTGCATCTCAAGCCATCTCCATATCCGGTTCTTGCGTGCTTCTCCAGGTGCTGCAGCTTGCGCCAACCTGGCCTACTCTGAACCCCAATTCCCATGAGTGTTGAGTTTTTTGATCATGCCTAGCTTGGCTGTCACCACCAACTCTCCCCTGGGCGAGTAGGTATTGCAGTCCCACAGGGATAGGCACATAAATTCCCCTCGGAATCTGCCCCTAGACCAAGTTCTGACATGTGTCCACTAGTGTCATAGCTCAACCTCACATGGTCTACAGATACTGTAACCTAGTCCCACCAGGCAGGCCTCCCAGCCCTAGCTTTCATGTGCGCCAGTGAGTTGTGATCAATGCCAACTAGTCCAGCCCAGGTCTCCCATATGAGCAGGTGTCCTGGTCTCAGCCTCCTTATTTACCTAATTGCAATGGTCTGTCTGTGGTAGTCCCTTTAATGTACTTCCTAAGCAGTCCCCTCCCATCAACAATCCCCAAACTCTCCTCCTGGGACAATTCATAGTCACCATGTCCATTGCCAACTCAGAAGCAGGTCTGGACCTGGACCTGGACCTGGCGTTGGTCTTGGGCCTGGTCTTCTGGCAGTGTGGTATATGCTGGCCTGGGGTGCTACCTACTTGTCCAGGGTCCTCCCTAAAAATTTATTTTTTTTAACCTAAAAGACAACATATCTCACTAATTCCTTCCCCAAATACTTGGAATATCTAGCATTGGTCCAGATGAAAGGCAGGCTCCTGGAATTGGATTTGGGAGATCTGGAAGAAGCTCCTGGCCCCAGGCTTCTGATTGAGTCAGCTCCAGCCATTCGGGATGTGAACCGGTGTTTCCTTCTCTCTGTCAATCTGCCTTTCCGATAAAAAAATAAATCTGTAGAAAAGAAATTAGAGTTTATTTGTGGAGTTGAGCGAGAAGTGAGAGGATGCCCTGCTCCACCCCCAAATTGCCCGTAATAATGAGGGCTAGGCTAGCCCAAAGTTAAAAGTCAGGAACTCCATTTGGTTCTCCCAGCCAGATCACACAGTTCCAAGTGCTTGAGCTGTCACTTGTCTCCCAGCATGTACGGAAGCAGGAAGCTGGAGTGGAAGGAGAGACACGAGATAAGTGTCCCACCCCAGCAGTGTAACGTGCAGCCAACACCACAGTCCCTGCTCCATCTTTAAATGGCCAGTAATAAAACCTGAGAGTGACATTTTTACATTTATTATTTTCATTATTTTGCCTTTTTTTGTAGATTCCTTCTTCTAGTTTCAAGTTTCTGTTATTTTAAGTTCTACTAACTTTCCTTTTGGTCTTTAAAAAATTTTGTTTTTAAATATTAGTATTTATTTGAAAGGCAGAGGGAGATAAAGATCTTGCATCTGCTGCTCACTCCCTAAAGTGCCTGCAACAACCAGGATTCCAGAACTTCATCTGAACCTCTCACGTGACTGACAGGGACCTGAGTACTTGAGCTGGATCTCAGAACAGTGTCGACTCTAACCAAGTGTCCTAACTGATGTGGGAGTTGGGTGTCCTGAGTATTTATTGCTTGGGCTAAATAGATGCCCCATTTTAGTATTTCTTTGAAAGGCAGGTTTTTACTGAGAATGGGAAGGGGAAATAGAAGTTTTCCATCCACTGGTTCTCTCCCAAAATGGCTGTTATGGCCAGAGCTGTGCTGATTGGAAACTCGGAGCTGGGAGCTTCTTCCTGGTTTCCAAGGTGTTGGGTCATCCTCTGGTGCCTTCCTGGGTTGTAACCAGGTAGTGAGATGGGAAGTGGAGCAGCCAGGACAAGAACTGGCGTCCATATGGGATGCCGGCACTAATGGGCTGAGGATTAGCCTGTTAGGCCACTGTATATTTCTAAAGTGTAGTTAGATTAGTTGTAAAGGTTTTTTAACTTTTATTTGTATGGAAATGCTTTTATTTTACCCTTTACCCTTTTACTACAAGATTTTTCCTATGTATCAACTTTAAAAATAGTTAAAATCATTGTAAAGTTACAGTGCCACAATTAGCATTTTCTTTGCTTTGTCTTGTATCTGTCCAAATGACCACCTGCTATGTTTCTAAATTTGTCTTATTTTTTGATACTCGAGTTTAACTGCAGTGTAGTTTACGCATATATATTAACTGGAATATAGTGATTTAATATTAAAGACTAGAGGTTAGTATGGTATTTTTGTTAGCACATTGTGTAATGGAATTGTCCCAAATGCTGTTT